AGGCGTCTTCATGTTGTGTGTTGGTGTGATGGATCCCAACGTTCCCGTTCTTTCACAGAAGGTCAGAGAAAACGTTTTTATATCTTGTAGTTCTTGTGATCACAAGAATTTTTTTTCTAGTTGTGCACTCTCCTCCCTTCACCCCGACCCTCAGCAGAGGACGATCACAGTCCGTCCCCTGAAGTGAGGACTTGAGATTATTTTTAGTGTTAACAGAAGAAATATGTGACGCTCTGATCCCAGAGATTAAAAAGACAGAATCAAATGAAGCTATGCAAAAGACATTTTTACACTAAAAACCAAATTCAGAGATTTTCTTTCTTTCTTTGTTTCCTCTGAAGCACTTTTACACTACGACTCATTGTGTCTGCAAAAACTGATAAATTAACATTTACCTATAGCTCTTCTCTTCTCAGTGTTTAATCAAGAAAAAATACTTTTTAATTTTACAAATACTGAAGTCTGCGTCACTGATTAACACGTTTTGTTTCCTGTGACGGCTTCACAATAAAAGCCAACCGCTTTTTTTGCCAGTAGAATTTTTTTTTTATGTGAAGCAGCAGCAGGAAACATCATGTTAGAATCAGCAGCAGTTTAATGCAGCTCTGTGTCAGCTGCAGGAGAGTGAACAGAAAACAGTGAATCAAATTTAGCACCAGAGACTTATCTTTGTAAATAATTCCAGTCCTCCAAATCCCTCGAAAACACAAGTCCAGACTCGTATTTATCCATCGTCTCAGAGCAGGAGTTTTTTGATCCAATTTTTAGGACAAGCACTGAAAGCATTTTATCTTTTTAAGTTTCCGTAAAAAAACAAAAACAAAAACAGACCCTCTTATTTTTTAATACTGCAGCTGGTCTTCCTCTCTTTATCTCATCATCCTCCTCGTTCTCCTCATCCTCACCTGCTGTCGTGTTAATTATGTAAAAGATCAGACAATTAAACCAACGAACCACATCATCGAATCAGTGTTCAAACCAGTTTCAGTCTCTCCTGAGTGTTTTCACTGCATCAGGAGGATTTATTTTATTGAGTTTATAACCAACTCTTCGTCCCATTGACCTTTGGCCTCAACAAATACCCTCCTTACTTTCTCAAGAGCATTATCTTCATCTTATTATTATCAATGGAGTGTTAAAAGTATGGAGGGACAAAAGGACAAAAGGACAAAAGCATCTTTGTAAGTTATTACAATGAAAAACTTTCTTGAAATAATGACTGAGAGTGACACAGCTCGCTCCAACATGGCGGCACTGTACAGAGTGGTGTCGTCAGCATAGAGAACTATGTTGGCATTTTTACACACAACGGCAACTCATTAAAAATGGAGTATTACAAAGACCTTTAACGATAATGAAAAGCTGTCTTGAAATAACAACTTAATATCTCGAAAAATAGTAATAATAATATTTTTAGATGCTGTACATCATTGATTTTCTACCCTAAATCATTTTGAGAAGGTTTCTCATCATAGTGAGTTGCAGCATCTTTTATTTTCATCACAAGTCTTCATATTATTTTTTTCTGTTACTGGGCTTCCATATAAAGATACTGAGAAGAAAGACACTAAAATATTTACACTAATAATCAAACTGCAATAGAAGACAGAAATATCAAACTCAGTGAAGAGGAGTGAATGACGGACAGTTTTCAGTGACTTTTGTGCCATAAATAATAATCATTGTCGTCTCTGATGTGAAGTCTGTAGACTGAGCCTCTGTGTTTTATTTTAAAGCTGAGCTGAGCTGTGGTGAAAAGCGTTTCACCACATAGAAAGAAACTACTTTTAATACATTCTGTGATCTGTGCAGATGAAGACAGTTGTTGAAGGATAGTTTGGGATTTTTTTCGCCCAGCTTGGGTCTTATTGTTTTAGTTTTTACTCTCACTTTAAAGAATTTAACTGAAAATGTGATTTAAACCTGAAGTTTGGAAGAAAAGTCAAACCTGAGCATCAAAATGAGGTTCCCTGAAGAGTTTTTAAAGCTTTAAACTCAACACTGAATCCCCAATGCAAAGACAGAAAACTAAATTCTGATCTAAATTGACAGGATCAGATCAGGACGAGGTCTTCCTCTAGTGAAGGTTTGATCCTTTCACACCAAACTCCAGCAGAAAACCGTCAGATTTAAGATGAATTCAGACACGTGTGTTTCCCTCCCGGTGGTGTTGCAGCCTAGGCCTGTCGTCGTCGTGTTCCCATGTGGTTCTCGTGTGGTGAAGTGGACCTGAGCAAAGCGCCTGGTTGCCAGTGTTGAAGTTTACAGTGTGTTTGCCTGCATGCCTGATATAATAACTGACATTTTTATTCATGATGTTTTCATACTCTTTGTATTTCTTCTTTTTTGATTTATGGTGTGTGTGTGTTTGATCAGCTGGAGGTGGTGGTGTTTCTGTTCAGTGCTGTTTGGTTGTAATAGCCCTTTAAAAAGACGTCCTGTGTGTTTGGACTCTCAGGTGGAGGTTGGATGTTTCTGTGCCATATAAACAGATGTGTGTGTGGGAGTGTGTGTATACAGTGTGTGTGTGAAGCAGTATGAACCAAACGTTCCCTCGTGGACTGAAGTGGACCTGAAACAGTGTTTTTTTTTTTCTTGTTGTACAGTTTGATATTAAAGAGGCACAAAAACCAGAGAGTGCCGACCCCTCAGAGGAAGATTAATCTTTTACTGCCACTAACAGAGTCGCAGTGTAGAGCTGCAAACTAATGAGGACTTTCACTGTCACTCTGTCAGTTATTTTCTGGATTAATCGATCAGTTGTTTGGTCTACAGTAGGTAGAGACACACATCTAGTGATGCATTTGGACACATCATCAGTGACAGTACCAGGGGTCATTGGGGGTTTTGGGTCTTTCAGCTTCAGACCCCTTCACCCTGACGAGCCAACCAGGTGTGATCAGTGTAGGAGAGATGTCAGCGTCTCATAATCCACCCTTAGTCGGCGCGCTCTGGTTTTTGTTCTGCCTGCAGTTTTCCTTTAACACAGAGAGTGAATTAAGAAATGAGACGATCCATGAAATGTGACAGGCGACTTCTCTGAGGCTGATTTTACCAGAAACTCATCAGTGTCCCTGCAGATGTTTCACCTACGATTTCAGACTCAGGTCTAAATACACAAAATCATCTAAAGAAAATCGACTGAGATCATTTATCTTCTGTCTCTTATCAGTGAAGAGCAACTCACAGTCATAACTAAACAGGAAACACGAGATCTTTGTGGGAAAACTTGTGTCTGAGGTCACTGAGAAACAAGTTTTATCAGAAAGAATCAGATCTTTAATTTGCACCTTTTTATTGAAGTGAATTCAACAGTAAGAGATTAAATCTTTTACCTGGATTATATTTGTAGACTTAAATCTGAGAGTCGATCGATGAGCTGCAGTTTGATCCTGCAGTGACTTGTTAAACCCTTCTGTCAGTCTGCAGTGTGTTACTGGTAAAACCTGACATCTGGAGAAGTTCTCTGCTTTCCAAACCGAAGCTCGACTGAAAGCACATCGCTCGTTTGTAAGAAAGAAAAAAGTGGAATTACTAAATAAATGTTTTAACAGCTTGTCTGGGTTAATGTCTCTAAGTTACATAGAAATACATGACTGCAAAGTAACAAGTTACCAGTGGTATAATGTAACTAAATGTGCCGTACTATACTAGTGTACGATTTTCACAATACTTATACTTTACCTTTATACTTAAGTCCGCTGCATCCCTGAGACAGTTATTGTAGTTTTTTATCGGACTCTTACAGTTACTAGTTACCTTTTACAAAATAAAGAAATGTTATATATAACCTATGTATATGACTACTATACTACTAATCTACCCAGAAGTACACAGAGTATGTACAATTGTCATATTGACGAACTCCAACATTAAAATGTTCGTACATGTATTCACTGGTGATAAAAAAAAACCAATATAATATTCTATAATAACAGGTGTAACATTGTGAAAGGAGGATTCTGCAGAGTGAGTACTTTTACTTTGACTACTTTTAGTACATTTGCTGATAACACTTTCACTTAACATTTTTAATCCAGTACTTTTACTTAAAATACAATATTTTTGACTAGTATTTCTACTTTTACTCATCATATCTGTTCACTTTAGCCTTTAACTAGCTCTGACTTTTATGATAGAGGTCTGAAACTCTTTCTTTTTATACTTCATGCTGCTGCAACTCTTAAAATCTTACTTGATTTTATGATTTATAGTTTTATAATTCTATGATTTTATTCAGTTCTGTTTTATGTTCATTCTGCCTATTTTCATGTGAAGCAGTCATTGCTTATACTGCCGTTATTTCACTTTGTGCTGCATTTCTTGTATGAAAGGTGTTATATAAATAAAGTTTATATTATTATTATTATTATTATTATTATTATTATTATTAAGTGAAGAAGTACTTCTGAATAGGCTACTTCTTTCACCACTGCTAGTTACTTAAGCTATCCAAAAAAAAGGTAGTGCAGTAAAAACTTTAAAATTTTCCTCTTTGATGTAGAGGAGAAGTATAAGTAGCAGAAAATGGAAATACTCAAGTAAAGTATAAGTAGGACTACCTCAAAATGGAAGTACAGTACTTAAGTGACATTACATAATATTCACAATATAATTTAAATAGTATTTTATTTATAATTAATATAAATATTATAGTAGTTATATATATAGCTTATTATATACCGTAACCTCTTTGCTCACATTCCACCACTCCACGAGTTACAACTTTTTACTTTGACAGCGCAACACACCGGAAGTACATTGCAAGTGCTTATGGGTAAAGATGCGTTAGCTGGTGAAGTTAGCGTTTATTTCAGGTCAGTTTCACATTTGAAACTTTTGATTTAAAGATTAACGGTTAACCGACAGTGGAATTAAACAGTTTTAATTGTCATAAAATATCGTTAATTGTTAATTTTATAAAAGCCAAGCCGTACCGGAAGCGGAACCCCGGAAGAAAAACTACGCTACCCAGAATGCACCGCGCCCACAGGGTCAGAATTTAAACGGCTAACGTTAACAGAGCATAGCAGTGTTTAACAGTCCGGATAACACTTCATTAAACTGGAATAAATTGGGAATATTTGAGTTTGGTTTGTGTTTGTCGGGTTTATTAGACTGTTATGTAGCTACCGGACCGGTCAGAGCCGGTTTTAATGGGCGGACTCTTCAGTTTGTGACATGACTTCATCGGTTTCTGTTAGCTAGCATTGCTGCTAGGCTAAGCTAACTCTCAGCTAACGACTTCGGGACTGTTTGGTTTTCTCCCGCAGACATGATTTAATTTCTGGTGAACTGTATCAACAGAAAACACCGCGTTTTATAACAACACCGACCTCCAGAGAGCTGAGCTGACCGAGGCGGGCAGACCATGACCCTCGCCCCGAAGGAGCTGTCCAACCTGCTGAGCATCATCTCGGAGGAGGCATGCACCAACACCTTCGAGAGCCTCTCCACCCACTTCCATCACTACTTCGGGAAAGCGGAGCACTTCAGGGTGGGCTCGGTGCTGGTCATGCTCCTGCAGCAGCCTGACCTGCTGCCCAGCTCCCCGCAGAGGCTCACCGCCCTCTACCTGCTCTGGGAGATGTACCGCACCGAGCCGCTGGCTGCGAACCCCTTCGCTGCCGTGTTCGCTCACCTGCTGAACCCTGCACCTGCCGGGGAGGAGCAGGAGAAGGTGCTCTCAGGTAAGGCCCTGTGTGTCCCAAAATAATAATACAACATAATAATAATACATTTATTAATATAGCACCCTTCAAAACAGATGTTACAAAATACTTCACGAGACCATAAAAACAGTTAAATGAAGTAAGAGAATAAACAATGAGGTGTCTGCAAATAGTAAATAAAATATGTACATACAGCTACACAAATAGTCACCTACATAAATATACCCATACACACACATGCTCTGTGCACATCCCTCTTCAGGTCACCCCACAGATTTTCAATTGGATTTAGGTCTGGACTCCAAAACTTTAATTTTCTTCCGTTGATTTGTTCATATGTTTTGGGTCATTGTTGTGCTGGAAGGTGAAATTCATCTTCATCCTCAGCTTTCTAGCAGACACCTGCAGGTTTTGGGCCAAAGTTGACTGACATCAGGAGCTGTTCATAGTTCTTCCCTCCACCTGGACTAAATCTCCAGTTCCACCTGAAGAAAAATGACCCCAAAGCATGATGCTTCAGTGCTGTTTTTGAGCCTGACATATCTTTTGGAAATATGCCCAAAAAGTTCGACCTTGGTTTCATCCAACCATAGCACATTTTCCCACAATGCTTTTGGGAGATTTGATGCATCTTTTTGCAAAATTTAACCAGGCTTGGATGTTTTTTTGTGTAAGAAAACGCTTCCATCTTGCGACCCCACCCCACAGTGCAGACATATGAAGAATATGAGAGATTGTAGTCACATGTAGGACACAACCAGTTCTTGCCAGAGATTCTTGCAGCTCGGTCAGCGTTGTTGTCGGCCTCTTGGCAGCCTCCCTGACCAGTTTTTGTTTTGTCTTTTCATCAATTATGGAGGGACGTCCAGTTCTTGGTAACGTCACTGTTGTTCTGGATTTTCTTCACTGTGTTCCACGGTTTATCTAATGCAGTGGAAGTGTGTTTGTACTAAAAATGTGTATTTAAATGTTTTTTAAAAGTGGATGCAGATGTAGATGATCGTACCTGAACAAGAAGGTGCATTCCACCTGTCCAGTTAAAACCTTGTATCACCAGATGAGTTGATGTTGAATGTTTGTGATGAAGTGAAGGATGAAGTGTTCCTTTATGTGTTGAGAAAACTCTCCTTCTTAAAGCTCAATCAGCTCTTTCAAACCCTCTTGGATCAGCTGTATAATACCTGTGTATCAGCTAGGGCTGCCACGATTAGTCGACTAATCGATGACTAATCGACTATTAAAATAATCAGTGACTATTTTAGTAGTCGACTAATCGGTCATTTTTCATAGAAAAGCACTATAAAAGTACCCCAAATACTCTTACTGCAGCTTCTTACGTTCAGATATTGGCAGCTATACACACTCTACCGTGACAGTGAACTAAAACCCTTTGGCGTGAGTATGAAACAAGAAATTAGATGACGTAATTTTGGGGTTTGGGCAAGACAGACCGACATTTTTCAACATTTTAACACATTTTTCGATGAAATGATTAGACGATTAATCGACAAAATAATCGACAGATTAGTCGACAATGAAAATAATCGTTAGTGGCGGCCCTAGTATCAGCACATGTTCTTCAACCACATCGTTCTGTGTCATGTGACCTCTCTCCAGGCTTCCTGCCTCCCATCACGCACCCTGAAAAGTTCTTCCTGTCCCAGCTGATGTTGGCGCCGCCCAGGGATCTCTTCAAGAAGACGCCCAGACAGGTGTCCTGCATGGATGTCGGCAACATGCCGCAGGCCATCGACATCAGCGGGCTGCAGCTGGCGTTAGCAGGTCAGTGTACACCAACACAAAAGTGACAGCACTCACATTTAAAGGCTGAAATTTAAGAATAGCTGATGGCAGGGGTGGCTAAACTATGGCCTACAGTTTTAAATGGCCCACAGTGACTTTTTGAAAAGAAACTAGAATCTGGCTTGAGCATATTTCTAATTAATGTTACTGTGTATATATATATATATATATATATATATATATATATAGCACAGCTGAGTTCACACGCAGTGTTGCTGTAATCTGGAACTACTACTACTGAGCCCTGCCATTGCACTTCTTAAGATGAACACTAGATGTCTCTGCTTCACCAACAATTATTAATGACTAGTCAATGAAAACATTTACCTCAGTAAACATGGCGGTGGACCTGAAGATACAAGATCGTCTGGGGCAAATGGACGTTCTGGTAGAGACACACTTATTTTCATGCTGTGTATCTTATTTTCATGACTCCTTATTATTGTTCTGTATTTGGTTCTAAGACACAAAGTTTGGCCTTCTCTAACTTAAAATATATAAAATATTACTTTAGTTCAAGTGTCAGGCGGGAACATTAGCTGGAGTCTTTTAAAACACATGTTCGCAGACACAACTGGCTGCATCATGAACAGAATATTTCACATACCTGTGTCTGTACTACATGTGTTACTGGAGATCATCAGAGGACCATACAGAACTGTCAGATTTGCATGATGTAAACAGTAAACATGGCGACACTCGAGGAGGTTTCTATATTGTTATTTCTGAGGTGACAGCAGAATAGAACATTATTTTATTTTATTTTTAGTCTGTTTTTTATTATGCAATTTATTTTACTTTTTAATCTTATGTTATTTTATTGCATTGTTTTTTTTTTTTAATTTTATTTTAATGGTTCTATGTTTTGTGTCTTTGTTGTGCAGAGCGTCAGTCGGAGCTGCCCACTCAGAGTAAAGCCAGCTTCCCCAGCATCCTCAACGACCCTGATCCAGACTCTTCTAACTCAGGATTCGACAGCTCTGTGGCCAATCAGATCATAGAGTCTCTGGTCACAGGGCCCCGCCCTCCACTGGAGAGTAAGTGTTTCTGATTTTAATGTTTGAAAGACTAACTAAACCCCAGAGTTTTGCCTCCTCCCTGGAACGTGAAAAAAGTATGAAAAATGGGCAGGGTAGGGAGGCGGACTGAGACATGCCCAGTCACTTTGTCATAGCGCCTCCTGACCCACAGACTTCTTCAGACTTGTAGAGGATCAGTTTCACTTTGAATAAAGTTATTTAGTGTATGATAGTGGATCATCTGAACGTCCACCCCCTCTCCGTCCTCAGGTCACTTCCGCCCCGAGTTCATCCGCCCACCCCCTCCCCTCCATGTGTGTGAGGACGAGCTGGCGTGGCTGAACCCCACTGAGCCGGATCACAGCATCCAATGGGATCGCTCTATGTGTGTGAAGAACAGCACCGGCGTGGAGATCAAACGCATCATGTCCAAGGCCTTCAAGAGCTCGCTGTCGGCTCAGCAGCAGTCACAGGTGAGCTCATGGCACGCTGTGTCGGTTCACGTGACAGGATAAAGTTTTGACTTTTTTTGGGGACTATTTTCAGCTGCGGATTAATCCACATCTGGTGCTGTAGTGAGTATAAGTGTCAGCAGGATGGTGTGTGTGTGTGACTGAGTCAGAATAAACTACAGTGTGTGTCTGTGGTGATGAAAGAACCTGTCGGTGACACAGTGTGACTCACTGATGTGTTTTAACAACGGTGAAGGAAGAAGAGTCATCAGGCTGTAAACTCCCTCCCTCTCTGTCTCTGTGCAGCTGTTGGCGGAGCTGGAGAAGGACCCGAAGCTGGTGTACCACATCGGTCTGTCTCCGGCGAAGCTCCCTGATCTGGTGGAGAACAACCCGCTGGTGGCCATCGAGATGCTGTTGAAGCTGATGCAGAGCAGCCAGATCACTGAGTATTTCTCAGTGCTGGTGAACATGGACATGTCACTGCACTCCATGGAGGTCGTCAACAGGTCAGGACGCTGTGCTCTGCACTGCATCTGACAGTTTTCATGCTTAACCCTTTAAAACCTGAGCAGATTTACTTTATGTCTCTCAAAAACATGAGAAGAAGGCAACAAACAGCTTAACAAGAAACTACCTAAATATTAGCAGTAATGATAATTATAATGCTGATGTGACCATTTCTTCTTTCAGTGTTCATGATTGTTAAATCCGGTCACGTTCACAGGTTGACCACAGCGGTGGACTTACCTCCAGAGTTCATCCACCTCTACATCTCCAACTGCATCTCCACCTGTGAGCAAATCAAAGACAAGTACATGCAGGTACAGAACAACACTTTGATAATAACGATCCTTTAAAAAGGCCGGAGTGTAGTCGACCTGCTCTCTGACAAAAACATGTGAATGTGCTAAAAACAATATTTTAACACATTCACATATAGCAAAAAAAAAAAAAAACTGTGGACCTCAAGGAGTCATTAATAAATCACTGCATGCATGTAGAGTTTGCATGTACATATTTTTATACGTGTGCTTTCATGCAGTTTGTTACCTGAACTATTTTTACTTTCATTTGGAGACATACTCACTCTAATAACCATATGTCTACATAAATCTACTTCTGCTCGGGACCATATTGTCCTAAATGTGGTTAAAAATGATCTTGAAAAGGTCTTAAAAACAAGTTTAGGTGTTTGATACCTGTAGACACCCTGTTTATGTTCTTGAGGTCAGTTTTAGTTTGGAGGCTGTAGGTTGTATTGTATTTTACAGAGAGTTGTTTCTAATATTTGACATTTCCTCCAGAACCGTCTAGTCCGTCTGGTGTGCGTCTTCCTCCAGTCGCTGATCAGAAACAAGATCATCAACGTTCAGGACCTGTTCATCGAGGTGCAGGCCTTTTGCATCGAGTTCAGCCGCATCCGAGAAGCTGCGGGCCTCTTTCGCCTCCTCAAGACCCTGGACACCGGAGAAAACCCCGCCGAGGCCAAACCTGCCAAATAATGATCCTCACAGAGACAGTGCACAGACAGACTGGAGTCGTGGTCTGAGCTGCTAAAATAAATCTATCAAACAGTCAAAGGGACACGGTTTGGTGCAACACGCTTCATGACTCTGAACATCACAGGAGCAGAAACTAGTGCAGTTGATACTGTAAATATGTGGTGACGTCAGGGTCAGGGCGGTGTAAAGGTGTTCAAACTGGTTTGATATTAGGCCAAACACCAGACTGGACTGGTACGCTGAATGATACCAGGTGTCGCTACCCCTGAGAGGAACATAAAAACACTGTGTCTCAACAGAAAACTAGCGACTATTACGTCACATCACGTAATATCAACACCATTAAAGAAGCACTTCTGTTACTTTATGTAAACAAACCAGGTAAACATCAGCTGTTTGCTCGAAATCAGACCGGAGACGTAACCACGTAAAAGATGAGTGAGCAGCCTACATGCTGTCCTACTCTGTAAACCTTTTAAAACAGAAAACACATTTTATATTGTGATTGACGCACAGTTTGGTCGACAGCAAGTAGCCTAGCTTGTTATTAACGAGAGTTATTTAGCTCATCGGGAACTTTCAGCTCCATTGTGACACCGTCAGCACAGATTGCTGATTTAGGCGACTTTTTAATTTGCAATGTGTTAAAACGACAAACGCCGGTTCAGCTGGTTTGCATAAAATCAAACTGGTCTGAGCTCGTACACCGTGCTGGAAACTGACCCAACTCTGAGTGACGTCATCCTCAGTTCTGCCTCTGAACTCTGTCTCATCCTCCCGTCTCTATTTTCCAGAAGTCAAACAACAAAAGGATGAACTCACTTCACCGTTTCATTTTTCTACCAGAGCTCTTTTCCTTTGGAAATCTTTTCCTTTTCTCTAATTAAACAGATTGTTTAGTTGAATCTTGTTGTTGTGATTTCATTAATGTTTTTTAATCAGGTCTGTCGTCCACTTCCTGTTTGTAACAGCTGTTAATGTTCACACCTGGAAGAAACTAATCACTGCTCCCATCCGCTCATCATGAACACAGACCTCTGACAGCTGCGGTGAGTACCTGAAAACTTTCTCACATGTCGACATCAGATTGACGTTTAGGGTGACGTGTTCCAAGTCAGATGTTCAGACTGATGGAGGCGGCCTGGCTAGCTGTTTGCTCCTGTTTGCAGTCTGTATGCTAAGCTAAGCTAACCAGCTGCTGTTTGTAGCTTCATATTTACTGTACAGACATGAGTCGAATCAATCTGAACATCTGACTGTCAGAGAGGAATGGAGGGAGTGAATGTCCCAACATGTTGAACTATTCCTGAAGATTAACATGTTTCTCGGCCCTTTCTGGTAGAAAGTTTAATAATAATGCTCAAGTATTCCAAACGTCAATTTTGACATTTGTATTAATAAGTCAGATGTGTGTGTATTAACAGGTAAAAATAGAACGTCTTGACGTGTCAGATACGCATTTAAAGGACAGAACATGTCCTGTTAACAAGAACATTGCTGACGTTCTAAGACACTTAAAACATTAAAGCTTCCACGCCATTAATTGGCACCAACATACCCGCCCCTTTTTGACGTAGCGATTGCATTGACCAATGAGGGCTCCTGTTAGTGGGTACGTTTGGCTACATGCCTATCACCTGTCTTCTATACAACTTCAGTTTTTGGGACAGCCCATTTTGTGCGAGAGGATAAATTCTGTCAATGTGATTTTGCCAAATGTTACATGTTCCTGGACCAACATCGCAATCAACCAATCGCAGCCCTCTGACATCATCAGTGTGCTGCTCAAGGGTTAGTGAGCTAGCTTGCTAGCTAGGAAGGCTATGCTAACGAGTAAGTTTACCAATAAAATATTGTTCACTAACACGAAAAGTAAAATGTAATTTTGCAGTTGCAAAGACCTACGATTTTCCACTACTTTTTATGTTAATCTTGGACCATGCTGATCCTGACTAGAATTGCTAACATTGATCCAGAACCATCACTGCTATGTTGATGCCAAATTATCCTAAATCCATGTGGCGATGATCCAGGGTCAACATGACCATGTGGTGCTAGATCAACATGAGTGCTGCAATCTTACAAAACAAAAGCTTATTATAGGTTATAAAAAAGGAGGGACTGTGTGTTGATCACAGGTATTTGCAACTGAAAAATAACATCATCCTTTCTGTTTGTTAAAGAACGATATTCTGTTTTATTGGCAAGTTCACTCGTTAGCATAGCCTACCCACTTAGCAAGCTAATTTGCTAACCCTGCAGTAGCATGTAAGGATTTTGTTAAATCTAACCAACGCCAATTTGGGAAATGTAGCATAGTAGAAGAAGCACAAAGGAATTCTGAAAGAAGCCCAGGAGAAGCAGACTGATGATGTCAGAGGGCTGCGATTGGTTGATTACAATGTTGGTGTGAGATGCTGATCGAGGAACGTGTCCTACTTGGCAAAATCACGGCATGCGTCCTGTCATGAACTTGTGACTGAAGAGAGTGAATGTCCTCTGGAAGCTTTAAAGCCACTGTGGCCGTAATGTGCGTTACCAATCCAGGATTAATTATATAAACAATGATTCTTAAACACAAACGTGTTGTTTTACTCAGGAAAACCGAGCTCTGTATCCACCTTATTCCTCGCCCCCATGACACCTCGAGTGAATTATAGGCACGGCTTCTGGCGCTGAATCAGAACCAGTGTTTTCGTATTGTAACAGTGTTGAACGGTATGCTAACGGTACGCTAATCCTGTATTCTGACACAATTTGGAAATATAACGTTGAACACACCTCCTGTTACACCTCAGACGGTATAATGTGATCATACCTCTGGTGTCTCTGACAGACGTCTCAAAACATTTGTTTCTTTCTTAACCAAGCATGTTAGCGATTAACTTGCCTTGTTCCGTTAGCATATTGTTAAATTTAAGAGCCCGAGCTAACTAACAGTAAACATCAACTCCTAAAATATGATTTATGATTTGTTACAACTCAATAGACAGTAACATGAGTCAAACAATTTAATTACTGTATTAATTAATTCAGTATTAATTTCAGCTCCATGTAAAGTGAATAAACATGTTACCAGCTAACGCTCCGCTCATCTGCCTAATGAAACAGTTTAAACATTTTTGTCACTGCTGACTCATTTAATTGAAGTTCGGCAGCAGACATAATATCGGTGATATAAAGTAGTAGTGCTAAAACAAATAACTTCAGCCGTTCATTTTTATGTGATATTAAAGAATTAAATCACTCAGCCCAGTGTACTCTAATTTAAGTCTGCCATCTGTACATGCCAAATGTAACAGGACATTTTCTGTCATTTTAACTGGCATGTGGCATGTTAAAATGATAGATTTTTACCCGTTTAAACAAATTTGACTTAATACAAATGTCCAAACGTTAAGAGCCCTTACACGTTCCATAGTTTCAGTCTGTGGCTGCACCTGTAACCACCCTACAGTGATGTCACAGTGTCCTGGAGTACACCTGTACATGACTGCAGCCAGGTGAGATGTTGAACCACCGGAGGGCAGCACAGACAAGACTTACATCTGTCCAGTTAAATGATAGTGATGTAATGTGGTTGTTACAGGACAATCTCTCAAAAAACACAATCAGATAACACAATTTTTAATACAAAAATCTGTTTATTTGTTGTGAACATTTGGCATAAAGTTTATGATTTAGAACACGTTTGTGATCAAGTGAAAAACCTGAGCAGGTAATGCACACAAACAGTAAACACCAAGAGGAACATGGCAGCTCTGAGTGAAAACCTTCATCTTGATCATGATTAACCTTCATTACTGCTGCAGAGAATTTATTTTATTTAAATGTTTGTAGAGTGAAGCTCCAGGAAGTCCTGTTTGAGTTTAAAGCCTGAAGTTTTCTAAGGTAAACATAAGAGGAATGAATATTTTTAACAGACTGCAGTGGTTTTACCAAAGTACATTTTACAGTGTCTCTGCTCTCAAACGTCACCGCTGTTTTAACTTGAACCCTGTTGGAAACTTCACATATCCAGTATTTTAGGTTGCTGTGGTCTTTAGACTCTCTTCATGCCGCGCGCCATCAGGCAGGCAAACACCGTCATCACCATCTTAGGTTTGACCTCCACCAGGTCCTCAGGAAGAGCGTACACGCGGGCGCCAATCTTCCTCGCCATGGAGATGGCGTACCTGGAAACACATAATGACAAACAGCATGTGGTGAGAAAAACATCTCTCTCTGACTGTTATGGCTTTTATGGCGTTCACACCATAAAAGCTCTGACTGTTATGGCTTTTATGGCGTTCACACCATGACTTTTGAATTAAAGACATAACTGTGACTTTTTATTCACGATTTTGGTCGACATACTATACTATGACTTTTTGTCGTGATTTTTGACGACATACTATACTTTGATGTTTTGTCGTGATTTTGGACGACATACTATACTATGACTTTTTTTTCACGATTTTGGACGACATACTATACTATGATGTTTTGTCGTGATTTTGGACGACATAATATACTATGACTTTTTTTTTTTTTCAGGATTTTGGACGACATACTATAGTATGATGTTTTGTGATTTTTGACGACATACTATAGTTGGGCATTTTTTCACAAAGTTTGACGACATGCTATACTATTCCATTTTTTCAGATTTTTGACGACATACCATACTATTATACGATGTTTAATATGTATGTATGTATTTTAGTATTGTGATGACCCCTCTGCTCCACTAGGTGTCCTCGGCCTGCTTTTTTGGCTCTTTCTCTCACAGGATCTGGATCAAGACAGAGGGTCGTCATTAACCTAAGGAGGCACACCTGGGCCGGATGTGGTTCATGACATGAAAGCTCACCCCCTTCAAAGGTCTCTCTCTTTTCCATCGTGGGCGCAGCTGCTGTGGTTTTGGATTACTGTAGATATTTCCATGCACCCATATGACATGACTGATTACTGACCTCCATGACTGTTCTGTTATTTATAATTACTTTTGTCAATAAATTTGCTTCTCCCCTTTTGTAAACTTGTTTTGCCTCCAATCCTTGTTGAAGCTGTTGAGCCGGGTTATAAAACTTAATTTTTTTTTTCTGATATTTTTCATTGCATCACTTTTAATGGCATACTATAACAACGACAATTTTTCATGAAAAACTGTGATATATTATACCGTGACATTTCATGACATCCTATATTAAGGCATATATTATGTCATAAGTTGTCAAAAATTGTAGAAAAACGTCATAGTATAGCATGTCGTCAAAAATCATGACAAAACGTCATATAGTATAGTAGACTTCTGCACAACACAATGGTGGTTCCAACCCCATTGATAAAGCAAGAAATTCCACTAATTAACCCTGATAAGGCACACCTGTGAAGTGGAAACCATTTCAGGTGACTACCTCTTGAAGCTCATGGAGAGAATGCCAAGAGTGTGCAAAGCAGTAATCAGAGCAAAGGGTGGCTATTTTGAAGAAACTAGAATATAAAACATGTTTTCAGTTATTTCACCTTTTTTTGTTAAGTACATAACTCCACATGTGTTCATTCATAGTTTTGATGCCTTCAGTGAGAATCTACAATGTAAATAGTCATGAAAATAAAGAAAACGCATTGAATGAGAAGGTGTGTCCAAACTTTTGGCCTGTACTGTATGTCGTCAAAAATCATGACAAAACGTCATAGTATAGTATATCGTTAAAAATCAAGAAAAAACGTCATAGTATGTCATCAAAAAATGTGAAAAAACGTCAAAGTATAGTATGTCGTCAAAAATCATGACAAAACGTCATAGTATAGTATATCGTTAAAAATCAAGGAAAAACATAGTATAGTATGTTGTCACAAATCACAAAGAAAGTCATAGTATAGTATGTCGTCAAAAATTGTGAAAAAAAACATCATAGTATAGTATGTCGTCAAAAATTGCGAAAAAAACAGTATAGTATGTCGTCAAAAATTGTGAAAAAAACAGTATAGTATGTCGTCAAAAATTGTGAAAAAAACATAGTATAGTCAAAAATTGTGAAAAAACGTCAAAGTATAGTATGCTGTCAAAATTCACGAAAAAACATCATAGTATAGTATGTCGTCAAAAAGTGAAAAAACATAGTATAGTATGTCGTCAAAAAGTGAAAAAACGTCATAGTATAATATGTAATTGAAAATTGTAAAAAAAACAGAGTATGTCGTCAAAAATCACGGAAAAAACGTCATAGTATAGTATGTCATCAAAAATTGTGAAAAAACGTCATAGTATAGTATGTCATCAAAAAATGTGAAAAAACGTCAAAGTATAGTATGTCGTCAAAAATCATGACAAAACGTCATAGTATAGTATATCGTTAAAAATCAAGGAAAAACATAGTATAGTATGTTGTCACAAATCACAAAGAAAGTCATAGTATAGTATGTCGTCAAAAATTGTGAAAAAAAACATCATAGTATAGTATGTCGTCAAAAATTGCGAAAAAAACAGTATAGTATGTCGTCAAAAATTGTGAAAAAAACAGTATAGTATGTCGTCAAAAATTGTGAAAAAAACATAGTATAGTCAAAAATTGTGAAAAAACGTCAAAGTATAGTATGCTGTCAAAATTCACGAAAAAACATCATAGTATAGTATGTCGTCAAAAAGTGAAAAAACATAGTATAGTATGTCGTCAAAAAGTGAAAAAACGTCATAGTATAATATGTAATTGAAAATTGTAAAAAAAACAGAGTATGTCGTCAAAAATCACGGAAAAAACGTCATAGTATAGTATGTCATCAAAAATTGTGAAAAAACGTCATAGTATAGTATGTCATCAAAAAATGTGAAAAAACGTCAAAGTATAGTATGTCGTCAAAAATCATGACAAAACGTCATAGTATAGTATGTCGTTAAAAATCAAGAAAAAACGTCATAGTATAGTATGTCGTCAAAAATCATGACAAAACGTCGTAGTATAGTATGTCGTTAAAAATCAAGAAAAAACGTCATAGTATAGTATGTCGTCAAAAATCATGACAAAACGTCGTAGTATAGTATGTCGTCACAAATCACAAAGAAAGTCATAGTGTAGTATGTCGTCAAAAATTGTGAAAAAAAACATCATAGTATAGTATGTCGTCAAAAATTGCGAAAAAAACAGTATAGTATGTCATCAAAAATTGTGAAAAAAACATCATAGTATAGTCAAAAATTGTGAAAATTGTGAAAAAACGTCAAAGTATAGTATGTCATCAAAATTCACGAAAAAACTTCATAGTATAGCATGTCCTCAAAAATCGTGAAAAAACATCAAAGTATAGTATGTCATCAAAAATCACGAAAAAACGTCATAGTATATTATGTTGTCAAAAATTTTGAAAAATGTCATAGTATAACATGTCATTAAAAATCAAGAAAAAAAGTCATAGTATAGTTTGTCGTCAAAAATTGTGAAAAAACGTCATAGTATACCATATCGTCAAAAATCACGAAAAAAAATCATCGCATAGTATGTTGTCAAAAATTTAAAAAAAAAAACGTCATAGTATAGTATGTCGTCAAAAACTGTGAAAAACATCATAGTATAGTATGTCGTCAAAGATCACAACAAAACATCAAAGTATTGTATGTCGTCAAAAATCATGAAAAAACGTCAGTATAGTATTTCGTCAGAAATCACGAAAAAACGTCATAGTATAGTATGTCGTCAGAAATCACGAAAAAACGTCATAGTATAGCATGTCGTCAAAAATCACGAAAAAACGTCATAGTGTAGTATGTCGTCAAAAATAAATAAATATTAATGATACTATACTATGAGTTGTTATTCAAATTTTTTGACACTATATTATGACATTTCTATGACATCATGTACCATGACATCTTGCATGTATTTTTAATGACATATAGAACTATGACACTTATTTGGTATACTACACAATGACTTTTTGTCTCCATCTCTCTCTTTGATTTCTCTTTTGTTACTAATTATTATGTGAAATAATCAGTGAATAAATGTGTCCATACTTTGCGTTGTTGAGCTTCTCCTCCTCAGTCAGGTCTTCTGTCTTCAGCAGGTCGTATCTGATTGATCCAGGCTGGATGGCATCGATCAGGTCCAGAACTGGCATACTGCTACTGATGGATCCGTCCTACACACACAATACATACTGACAGTCAAACTATTTCTTTGACCAATACTTAGAGGATATAACTGTATATACAATATGTCCAGGAGGCAGATTCTGTGACCTAAATCCTTGTGTAAATACAGTATTAAAAAAAGTTATAATTTGAACATTATGTGATCTAATGTACAGGATGATTTTGCTTCCAAATAGTTTTTGATATGATTTGGTTTATGAAACGTTCATATTCTGAGGTTTAACACAAAAGCCTCAACTCTGAGTAGCCCCAACACCATGTCACATCATTTCTGGGTAACAAAAACCTTCAAACATACCCATACCATACATATTTTTGACCCTCCGTGTGTCTCAGTTACCTTGAAGCTGGAGATGGTTGGTTTGCCGGCCTGTGTGAGCGTGTCGTTGACCCAGGACACAATGGTGTCGTCGTTTACTTTCTGCCCATCGCCCAGGTCCTCCAGGATGTTCAGTGTGTATCTGAGGGAACAGACAGCGGTCAGAGGAGGGGTTTCAAAATAAAAGCTTTAAATTAAATTTAAATAAAAAGACTTTAGAATGAAAAGTTGTAAACACAGGAGAGTTGTTACCTCCTCATGAGCTGCCAGAGCAGAGCGAGGGTGAGGGTTCGATTCCCAGCGTTCAGGTCCTGACCTGCGATTCCCACCAGAGAGAATTTGGCCTCCTTCTTTCCCAGCTCGATTGCGTAGTTACAGTTCTCCAGCTGGAACAGAAAGAAGAGTCATATTTCAGTCACAGCTGAGCTGATCTGCACAAAGGACAAGAAATATTTGCTGAGAGTATTTGTTGATTTTCACAGAGCGACACAAACAGTTTGTCTCTGCTCTCACAGCCAGTCCCAAATCCAAACTACACACTGATTCTAAGCAGGTTTGTGTGTTCAAAACTGAAGAGCAACACAATTAAGTATGAAAAGTAGGCAAACTAAATATGTTTGATTTCTCGAGTGTGCTGTCAGACACGATTCTCCCACAATGCAGTGCACAAAGAGGATGGTGCTCACAGCTGGACAAAACTAAAATAAATTCTAGCACAGTTTCAATATTAGTGTCAGCTGACCACATGTCTCCCCTTCTGTTCCTGAGATGTGTCATGAGAAATGTTGCCATGATTACGGTATGAATTCTTGAGTTATGGACAAAAACATGTTTTGTGAGGTCACAGTGACCTTTGAACTTCAGCCCTCGACCACTAAATTCTAACCAATTCATCCTTGACTCCAGGTGGATGTTTGGGATAAATTGAAAGAAATAATCCCTCAAAGTGTATTTTACATATTGTGCTCATGAGAATGCCACAGACAAGCTCACAGTGACCTTGACCTTTGACCACCAAAATCATTAATTCATCATGAACTCAAAGTGGATGTTAGTGCTTAATTTGAAGAAAAAAAAACATCAAGAGTTTCTTGAGATGGACACAAGGTTACAGTGACCTTGACCTTCAACCACCAAATTCTAATCAGTTCATCATTGACTCAAAGTGGACGTAAGTGTCAAATTTGAAAAAAAAAAAAAATCCCTCAATGTGTTTTTGAGATATTGTGTTCATGACACAGATGAAGTCACAGTGACCTTGACCTTTGACCAACAAAATCTAATAAAATCTAATCAGTTCATCCTCAAAAAAATCTGCATTTGAGATATCATGTTCACAAGAATGAGATAAACACACGGTCACAGTGACCTTGACCTTTGACCAATAATCATTAATATTTTTGTTTGTTTTGTTTTTTAACTTTATGGCCATATCAGCAATGAACAGTTAATTAACACTGCAGAACAAAAATCACCTCGAGAGTAGGTCCCTTAAGCTGTTCTTGAGATACTGGATTCATGAGTGTGACAGACAAGGTCACAATGACTTTGACCTTTGACCACCAAA